AAGTGTTACAACAAGTACGTTACAAGTCAAAATAATAACTACCCTATATGAACTCTTGGCCTCAGATTGCATCTGTTTTTTAATAATATTTATTTCACACATACATATTACATAGGTGGTCGGCCTTTTCGCCTGACATCCAAGGCATGATTATCTTTCTGTGGTGTACTTGGCGTTAAGTCTAAGTACACCACAGTCTCCCTTCGTCAAAATAGATTTATTTTGAGTTTGAGGATTCATAGTTCGGGTATCCCTTACCTGACACTTAACGCAAATTGTGAATCCCATCATAGAACGCACTAAGTCTTGTTTATGAGACTCAAAGATCAGGCACACAAGGCTGTTTATAAAGAAAAAATAGCAATAAAAGAAAATTCAGATATTTGCGGCCTAATTAAAGGGTTGCAGCGCTACTCGGTGTATGTAACTATGCCATTTTAAATCTATCTATTACAAAAATACATTATAATGTATATAAATTATAAATACTCCTTTTTTATCATTTCAAGATTTATAAGTTATATTTTTTAATACTTTTAAACTATAGTTTAAATAAGAACATATAAATATACTTATCAATTTCAAATTAAATAATAATATTAAAAACATTTTTCACATATTGCACAGTCATTGTGAACATTAAGATTTTTTAGAGTTCCGCAAACAAATCGATATTATATATTCACATTAGGCCAAAAGACTTTGTTCAGAAAAGACATTACGCCATAAAAAAAAAAAAAAAAAAAAAGGGCCAAAAAACTTAAAATATATATATTATCGGAGCAATGACGTTGGTATCAGTTGCCATTTTCATTATAATTTAATTACATCAAAGTGAAATTAGTTGAAATCCGTTATATGGTTTATTTAATTTTCCAATATTAATAAATCTACAGATTAACTAGACTTTTTGATAGTCTATAGTAATATGTTGCTAGATCTATAAATTAACGACTATTGAATGGTCGATAATAATAATGACTTGGAGTCATATATATATATATATATGTTAATCTGGAGATACCAGCCGCCATTGCGCCATACCGCCAATGCTCGGACATATATATTATATATTCAGTAATAAATAATAGTAGGTATTTATTAATATATATTTAGTCGTAGGTTCCATTGTGACAACACTTACCATCTGCGCTTACAAACACTGCGAAGAACTTATTCTGACCGCTAATGCATATAGGGTTCCGGGTAAAAAAAAGTAAAAAAATGTACTGTCAGGATTTGAAACCCAGGTTTTAATATGTCATTGGAAATTAAAAAATAATATAAAAATAAATTTATGTTCTTTACACTAGAGGTCGGGATTTTGTTACTATGGGGTGTTTTATATGGAAAAACGGTTTAACAATCGATAGGCTAAAATTTTCGCCACGTAGTTCAGGTCGAGAAGTAGCAAGGGAAAGAGGGCCTGGGAATTAATACAATATTTTGTTTAATCAAGAATTATTTATTTAATAAAAGTTTTGCATTCTGCATCCATAGGCAACTAGCGATTTCAACGAACTCCGAAAGCACAACCAACTGGACCCTTTGAAACAGGTCTGGAATTGTTTAAATCGGAATTTTCGAAAAAGGAGGTATGTTTTCTCCTTGATCATTAATGGCAAAATAAGGTGAAAGAATTAATATTCACGTTCTGAGGTTAATCACATAAATGTACAGTATATTTGGGACATAATATGCAGGTATGTTACTTCGTGTACCCAAGGACTATGTTACGTTTAAAACATGTATTTTTGTTAAAACATAAAATAAAACCAAAAACTGACGTTCTGAATTTTCAAAAAAATTTTGAACAATGTAAAATCAATCTGTGAATACAAAAATTTTAGATCTTTTATGCACAACATTCCGATTTAATTTTCATCCATTTACGACTTTTAAACATTTAATAGAAAATATAGAAAAACTTAGTTTTGCCCTGTAAAACTCCCACTACCCTCTCACACAACCTCAATCGAGTGCGTGGAGTTTACGCTTCGACTATTACTTTATCATATTCCCGGGGCTCTTCTAATGCTTTCGTCCTACGGCGGAAGTTTTTTCGCCTCATTATGGACTGGTCTATCATAGCATTTGTAACTCTCGACCCAGTTATTCCTGTGTACCCGGTCTCATGATATATACATCATCAACCTCAGACTCTGGGGGATGCTCGGCATATACTTCCTTATGCACATAGCCGCCGTTCGCAAGAAGGCCTCTTTTGTCCTCTTTCGCCTGTATTTCCTTCTGAATAAAGGGAGTCTTAACTCATATGTCCCTTAGACACAAGGTACACTGTACAAGGTCTGCATCCGACCATGCATTACCTACCTTAGTGTAGTCTTCGCGCATTGTGCCACCTCCTATATCCACAGGCAACAGGCGCGACCGATACGCCCTTATGCGTGAGGAACGACGACGAAAAACGAATCTCCACCACGAACTGGAGCTTCCTACCTAGCGCAATAGATGAACTTGGCGTCCACACACCACTTCTACAAGACATCATCCAAACCTGTTGGTGCCAAACCATCAATTATTACCCAAAAACAGGCACGAAGGAGGGCTCGACTTGTCCTAACGGATCCGCATGATCCAATAACAATAGCTAACGACGAATTAAAAACCGCCCGCGCGGCAAAGTAAAATCAAAATCAGATTAGGGTACAAAACCGCCTTCATTGGAAAAGGCGTGCGCGGCGACCTTTACTTTACTTACAACGCCCAGCCGAGCTACGCTCGCCAAAACAGCCAGAGCTGAGCTGTAGAGGCCCTTAAGGCCAAAAGCGAGATTCCAATATAAAAAAAACAGCCTCTGGGCCTTCGAGGCAGTGGTTAGACTGGTCGAGGTTCTCTTCTAAATTGGAGGAACAGTACACCTTCCTTCCTCCACATCATGTTTTTTAATCAGTCTCACTTTTTGGTAAGGAATTTTCAGGTGAGATTTATCTAGTATATCACTTTTATATATCAAAAAAAGTTTTTAAGAAGGAATAATTAACCCACTGTACTTCTTCTGGACTTCTGGGCTTATAGAGTTTATCTAACAAAAGTACCCTAATTATAATTGTCATAAGTTTATTAAAGCCCCCATACAATCCTTTTACATATGAATGAAGAGAATTTATCGAGAAACAAAATAATAAAAACCTAGTTTAATTCCTAAAACCGTATAAACTTTCTTCATTTATGTAATAATACATTTTTACTTCACCAGTTTTAATTTTAATGCTACACTACATAATAGATACGTAGCAGATTTACTGCAATTAATCCTCCTACCCCTTCCTCTTGTCAGCAAAAGTAAGCAAAGCTCTCAAAAATAAATGTATATAAACGTATTAGTTTTTACACGCTTTATATTAGCTTCACCTGTATGTATGTATGTATGTATATATGTATGTAGATGATGAATGTATGTATGTATGTATGTATGTATGTATATATGTATGTATGTATGTATGTATGTATGTATGTAACCGACTCCTTCGGACTCAATTTTGACCCATTTTAACGGACAGATTTAATTTAATTCAAACTTTGCGCACCTGTCAAAGATCGATGACAATGCAATAATCCGAAAAAAAAAATGAAAAAATTAAAAATATTTAACTAAAAAATAAAAAATAAATAATAGTTTAAAAAAACTAGAACACACGCTTTTAAAGCACATCAAACTAAAAAGTGAAAAATAATTCCTAATTTAGGCTGAAAATGGTAATGAATAAAAAATATTGGTATTATTGTGAAAAAGCGTGGGTTGCTCGATAGACGAAAAATATGGCACAGAGATGATGATGTGCTTTAAAAGCGTGTGTTCTAGTTTTTTTAAACTATTATTTATTAGTAGGGATCCTCGAAAATGCATTTCGTTTTCAATGTGTGGGTAATATGTGTAAAAAAGTAGATAAATACTATTGACGTAAACACCAAATAAGAAAATCAAACCCTTCCTCCCTATAGTGATTACGTAATACTTGAACGGTGGAAAATAGTAAAATGTAGTTTTTTCCTAAAGTTTTGCTATGAGGCTATAATCTTCAACAATCTGCAAGTAATAGAAAAATGTATTCCTAAGGCAGATTGCCTAATTAATGCCTATTCTTTGGCGACAGTTGAGTTTTTATTCGGCGCTCTCTCATCCTTTTGACGTTCTAATTTGCTGATTTTGAAACAACTACATCGTGGATACTATCAACGTCGGTATTGCTATTAAGAAGATAGATAGTACCGGCGTAGCTGAAGTTAATCATCGCAACGAGAGTAGGTGTAAAACATTAGAGCAATCTTATTTCTACAGAGCGAAAAACTAAAAAGTTGGGACTCAAATGAGCAGTCATCGAAACTACCCTCGAAACATATTTGATTATTAAAAAATTTAGTTTTTGTATCCATTATAATAAAAGTATTTTATATTTTTAGAGAACTAGGCGTTAAATATGATGGTAGAAAAGTCGGTAAATGTCGTAGTTCTGTTATAACTTAGATAATATAAATATATTCAAATGAATAATGACTTTAAAAGTACCATTAATTGGGTACTTTGTTAATTGAGATTTTAATATTATTATACTACTAAAACTTCTTTAAATTTTAATATAATGCGTAATATTGAAACGAGTTTCACTGTAATTTTACAATAATTATAATTGGAACATATAAAACTTTGTTGGCGTTGTACCTATGGTTTTAAAAGTCGCCAACAAAATGAGAAACAAACAAAAATTTTGATATTGTTTAGAATGTTTAAAAAATATTTTTTTGCAGGACCATGTTGTTGAAGAATTAACCAAAAAAACACAACGAAAATATATTTGAATAAAAAATCGTATCTATTATATAATTTAATAAACTCCAAATATCGGGAATTACAAGTCATGTTGATAGGCAACCCAAGGGCGATTAAATGTTTTTAAATCGGCTCCTAAAAAGGCATATAAAGATTGTGACTCTGCCGCATTGCACAGTACTCGGTACTTACTTGACCACTCGGCAACATGTTCGGTGTACTTGTTGCGCTTGTTATTTTGTTATATTTCATCAAACATTTTTATGATGAAGCTTATAAGAGACACGAAAATTTTCCTCCAGGTGAGATAGATGGAGGCGACATTTTTTTCTATAATAAAAAATGAAATTATCTATTTGTAATTAAAGCGAAAACAACTTATTTTTATTTACGATTTGAGAGTCGAATTTGAACTTTAGTTAAATAAATTTTAAAAGGCTAAAGGTGGTTTATCATATCTCACCATTATCGCAGGAATTTTATTAATTGTGCTAAAAGTATTGATTTTCATTTTTCATAATGTTAATGCATTTTTACAGGACCGCTGAAGTTGCCAGTGTATGGTGGTTACTGGATTATTTTGCTAAAGGCTTATAAAAATCTAGGCCTTGCCACCATGAGGCTAGCCAAGGAGTTTAATACAAAAGTAGTAGGCCTTTATTTAGGCAGTTGTCCACAAGTTATCGTGAATGATCCGGCACTGGTCAAGGAAGTTCTGCTTCGGGAGGAATTTGATGGGAGAATGGATACCATTTTGGGGAGGCTTAGAAGTGGTTGGAAGAAATTGGGTAAGCATTTAAAATTGATTGCTAATTCGGTGACGCTATAAAATTAAGTTTTTCTTTCCGGTTTCGCTACGATTTTCATTCACCGTACGTACAGTCGTTATTTCTTTTATATACAAAATCCTTCGGTGCACAGTCGACTGTAGGTTTTTTTTATTAGCATCTAAAGGGAATTCAGGTTTCGTGAATACTTGCCAAATATGTTATCGAAGCCACGATTAAAAAGTACTATTTTTTATTTGCAATGAAGTTTTGAAAACAACATCAAATAAGTTTCTAAATCGGTTCAGTGGTAGGTACAGTTTTAAAATATTAAATGTTATAGTTAGGTATACTTTTATATAAATTAATCGTGACACTCGGTGACAGCTATCGCATAATTTGTGGTTCTTATTTCCAAGAGGTCAATCGACCGATAATAATCAACACAAAAAAATATATTTCCAGTTATATGTCTGCTTCAAAACATCATAAATAGAAGTATGAAATAAGATAGGAATAGTTTTTATTTTTGAAAATATTTTAGCTTAATTAAATTGATAGTAATGTTCGCCAAAACGTGCTTTAAATAAGCAATGTTATGAAATTAAAGCAAGAAAACAGAATCAACCAAATTAATATCCTGAATCGAGATTCCAGCAGCTATGCATCGCAAAGCACAAAGCCCAAAGCTCATTTACTAACTAATGGCTTGTTAAATTCAGGTTTGTTCTTCACTGATGGATTCTTCTGGCACACGCAGAGGAGATTTTCATTACGATACATGAGAGATTCTGGATTCGGTCGTCGCTGTGAACACCTTGAAGAAGCAATGACAAATGATTTTAAGAATCTTTTGGACATAGTGAAAAATGGGCCAAAAAATGAAGAAGAAAAGGTATGGTAAAAATAATATTTTGTTTTATGTAATTAAATAAAATTACAAGTTAATTAATGTTCGCGTATTTTTATTATGAATTGACTCTTGACTGAGACACCATTAGGCTTTCGAAACAGCCTAATTTCCTAATAGGAAAATATCACATAAAGTTCCCAACAAGACTTCATACTGGGGAAATTCAGTTGGATTTAGTGTTCTATTTGTGCCAGCCATTTGCTATTCAAAATCATTTATTAATTTGAATAACACAATGTTCACTTATAAACGCCAATAAAGAATTACAAATTAAATGCTAAATGCTTCTAATTTTACATTTACTGCCATTTTCAAATCACGGACAAGAAGAACTGGCAGTAAACTATCCGCCACCCCTTTTAATCGCCAAGTTTTATGTTTTACAAAATGTTTGTAAGGAGCTGCAACCATTACACCATGTTCCACATGACATTTTTAAGTAATTAATAATAAAAAAACAAAGATATGTCCTCTATCAGCAGGAGGCATGGTGAAATAGGAGCACTCACTTACATTATAGTAGGAACAACACGCAATGCATGCATATAATATAGTAGAGATATTACGTGTAATCTAAAAGTTATTCATGTATTTATTCTTGGTGATAATTATTGTAGTAATAGTACCTAATCTCCGTAATGCTTGCGTATATTCTATATTATATTGCTAGAAATTGCATGTAAACGATAAGCCCTCCTAATGAGGAGGCCTTTATTAAGCTTAATTAAGCTTCCTGATAAATCTATATTATATTCCAAATGTTAATCTACGCGATCTTTTCAGAAAATCGTGAACGGTGACCTCATTTACCTACCGCATTTCTTTGACGTTCCGTTTCTCAATGGAATGATATATGTATTCACTAAAAGCCCACTTCCACGTGAAAAGTACCCATTATTATGGAATCTTGGAAGAAATGCCTTAGGTTTCCAGAGATCTTCAAATGACCTCGGTGGCGCCCTAGTCATCACGCCGTGGATAAAAAATATTCTGCCTAAGTTCTCTGGCTATGACGCTGCTTTCGAACGGACGAAAGCTATGAAGGAACTCTTTAGGGTAAGTGGTTTCAAACTGGAGTGAAAAAGACAAAATAAGCCAAAAAATTAAGTTGCGTTAAAAACTTTTTAGACTATATTTACAAACCATCTACGTACGACATCTCTATATTCAATTCTACTACAAAAAGTAAAGTATTCCATTCTACTACAAAAAAAGATCGTAGAGTCTCGAACAACGTCCAATTATTTAAATATAGATAATAATCATTGCGAAGAAGGATTTTCTAAACAAAAAATACCTTTCCCCAAGCCGGACAGCGGTCTCCGTGGGGAAACACGACCGCAACCCTCCAGCTAACCCCCGAGAGAAATCTCAATAACTCACATTCAATCGAACCAGCCAAAACCCAACCAACCAAAACCTAATGAGCCAAAGCAACGAAGTCAAATAAAGACCAATATTTATATCCGAACGCTCAACGTACTAACACTAAGAACATGCGATAGACTTATTGAACTGGAAGAGGCGCTCAAGAACATAAAATGGAATATTCTTGGCCTTACCGAACTCAGAAGACTATGAACAGAAATTACTGAACATGACGACTACATTCTATATTCTATTGGAGAGACAAAAGGACACTACGGAGTAGGCTTCATGGTCAGAAAAGAACTCAAGAACAGCTTACTAGAATTCACAGGCATCTCAGAAAGAATAGTAATTATAAAAATAAAGATAACTTGCTACAGAGAACACTGGAACTTGATGTAAGTGTATGCACCAACAGAACAAGTAGAAGAAGCCACAAAAGACTCATTTTATCATCTTCTATCCAAAATAATAGATGTAACAGAGAAAAACTTAAAAATTATGGGTGACTTCAATGGGAAAACTGGCAAGCAAAGACCAGGAGAAGAAAATGTCATCGGCGAATACACCACAGAAAAGAGAAATAATAATGGAGAACGCTAGTAAATCTGAGTCACGAAAACAACCTTGCAATCCTCAACACATTCTTCAAGAAAAAACCTAGCAAAAAATGGAGCTGGAAGTCACCAGACGGTAGCTACCATAACGAAATCTATTTCATAACCAGCAATCAACCCAAAGCTATCAAAGACGTGAAGTTAATCAACCAGTTCAATTTCTACACGAACCACAGAATGGTCAGAGCAACCTTACACTCCAAAAACCAGGGGATACCTAGGCAATGCTACAAACAAGTGCTACCTACCTTCTGAGGAATACACCCTTACTACCAAATCAGATGCAAGCCAACTGCTAGAATTGCCGAACGCTATGCATGAAAGATACAATAAATAAATAAACAGAATGTATTAAGGATGAGCAAAGAATTTAACAAGAGTATAAAAAGGGATAAAGCAAAAAAAAACATATTACTAAAACAGGAGGAATAAGGAAAGCCCTAAAAGAACTACAACCATCTAAACAATGAATACCACGAGAGAAGGACAAAAACTTAGTTACAAATAGAAAACAATACTAGATACCGCAACTTCAAAGAACTTTTTTATTTACATATATATTTTTGTAAACTGCCTCTTGTATTAGTTGAATCAAAGGCTTTGAAATTGAAATTGAAGTGATTTAAAGTAACACAGACGAACGAAATATTTCTTAATTTATGAAGTTAATTCCAAGTGTACCGTTCCTGGGTTACCGGGGTGCTTTAAATAATAGAGGATTATATTTTTAACTATAGTATTTTTTTTAATTTTTTACTTTTACCATTTGCGTACCATGCAAATGAAATATAACCATTGAAGAGAGTGCCTACGTCTGGTTATATATATATTTTATAATATTTTAATTATTACTTTTCAGGAGATCATTCAAGATGCCATAGACACGTACGACGATTCACACGAACGGCATTTCATTGATGCATACATAAAGAAAATGAAACAGGAACTCAAGGAAAAAGATCGCACCACATATTCAGGTACTAAACAATTTTAATTGCCAAATATTAACTATTTTCTTTGATTATTATTACATTTTCTTACTTATTTTTAGTCTTAGTCGGTAAATTGATGAATCGGTCTTATATAATCTCTATATATATAAAATTCTCGTGTTCAGAATGTTCGTTCTCATACTTCTCTGAAACGGCTCGACCTATTCTTATGAATCGGCCATAAGTAATAAATAATAGTATTTTAAATTCAAAATTTTATTTTTTAGATTTTATCTTGTTTTTTATTTTTTATGATACAGCATACAAAAATAGATACAACCCCTAATTTTCACCCCTATACGATCAACCCCTATTTTTTTATTATTGTAGATAGTTATTTTTATTGAACTAAACAAATGTTTCCTAGAAATAATACATAGCAAATTACATGGCAAAACAAACGTTTGCCGGGTCATCTAGTGTATTTATGGTCTAAGATCCCGCTATACAACGACCTTCACCGAGATGCTTATTTAATGAAACTTATTTTATATATAATTTAATATGTCAATAAATATAATCCATATGGGTTGCCTAGCAAATTTCAGTCCAGAGTATGTTTAATTAATTTAAAAAAAAATATTTTTTTAAACATTTCACCGGTATGATTATTAGATAAATTCTATACCAATCGAACGTATGAAGCCCATAGAATATGCAAACGTTAGGTTGTTTTTAATCAATTAATTATTTATGTGTATATTTTTTATGTGACACTAAAGTATATATACATCTTAAGTATAAAATAAGGTTATAGTGATACATATATAATACTACCCTGATTAAAAATATTGATTGAAAAAAGTTCAAAAAATTTACTACATGCAAATTATAAAAAAAAATTTTTTTTAATATTAATTAAACATACTCTGGACTGAAATTTGCTAGGCAACCCATATGGATTATATTTATTGACATATTAAATTAAATATAAAATAAGTTTCATTAAATAAGCATCTCGGTGAAGGTCGTTGTATAGCGGGATCTTATACTATTATATAATTGTAAATTTTGTCAACAGCTGGTATAACTTTTCTTATCTATTTATTCCGAAACTTACAGTGGAACAGCTAGAAATGATGTGCATCGACTACTCCTTCCCCTCTGGCAGTGGTGCTGAAATGGTTATGACCTTCCTCATCGAACGAATGCTGATTCAGGGAGAAATTCAAGACAAAATACACGAAGAGATTGATAGGGTTGTTGGACCTGATCGTTTGCCCACTCTTGATGATAGATGCAAGTAAGTATTTATTAATACATGACGTAGGCGAGCGGTTGAGACTGCTCAATGCATAGTCTTTGTTATAAAGATGGCTAGGTTCGAGGATGTTTTCGTATGTATATGAATGTGTGAAGGAAGGATGCTGTACCGTTAAAAAGGGATGATCCTATACAAGTCTAACAGTGGGCAAGTTCGAGAAGTTCTATATATCCTTTGCGACTGAAATTACTTCACTTCACTTAGAGTATCACGTCATCGCAGTGATTTGTAAGCGCTGATTGGCGGTTTCGCGACAAATCAAATATTATTCCTTCTTAATTAATACGTGTTACATATTTCATAAATTCAATTACATACTTAATATATATTGCATCTATTTTAATGACATACACATATATAAGCTTGCGCGCGTACTAAGTGAGGCCTAATTAACACTGCGCATTACAATATAATTTATTTCTATATTTAGTTTTATCTTTCATTCTTAATGTTTTGTGTGCGTGTTAATGTAAGATTCAGAGTTTAGACTTAGCGTGAAGCATGACTCCGGTGAGTAATACGGGAGACAAAATTGATGAATACGCTTAATTCCGAACGACGTCTTTCTCCTCAGTGTGAGCCAAAAATAAAAAATAAATAAACCTTTTTAAGACTAGGCCTCAGATTTCTGTATCGGTTTCATAATCATTTGAAAATCTAATAGACAAGTAGGTCATCCTCCTGTGCCTGACACACGCCGTCGATTTTTTGGATCTAAGGCAAGCCGGTTTTCTCACGATATTTCCCTTCACCGTTCGAGCCAATGTTAATGTAATGCGCACAAGTCCATTGGTGCACAGCCGGGGGTCGAGCCAATTGCTCACTGCTGTTTATGTATATAGTAATAAAAATTCATTAGATCACAACCGGGTTGCGATCCCACGACCTTGGGGTTGCTTATCTACCTGACCTTCAAAAAGCTAACGTCGGCACTAAGTGATTGCAAGGAATATCTCAGTATTGCGAGTGACAACAATTACTTTACGTAGTTACCGTTTAAATGTCAACCCCATGAACTGAGCCCCTTTTAGCCTCTTTACATACCTACTTCAAAGTTTCTTCTGTTAAAATCGTCCTGTGGGCACTGGGACTCAATTAACTAACACAATTATTCAACCACATTTTCTAACCATATAATTCTTGTCTTTGACATCCATTCGGACAAATATTATCATAATCACACCTCCGCCATCTTGTCTTGAGGTTGTTTTATGTTTGACATTTATTGAAGACTCAACGCCGAATACATAAAATGTATTTTAATACGGTTTACGTTCTACGTTAATCAGTAATAATTAATAATTAGCTAGACTATTTACTCTATCTTTACACAGTTTTTTTGCTGTTATTTTTTTTTGTTCTGGGATACTGTTATTTATTTGGCGATTCAAAAATGTTACTTCTCAAATATCGTCACAAGCTTTCTTTATTTTACAACCTTTAGCGTCATATTGATGAACGCATTGTATTCATTTGTGTTTTATATGGGAAGAAGGCTTATCATATTAGCTTTCTGTGCCTAACACACAGGTTTCCACATTATGTTTTCCATCCCCGAGTGAGGTCGAAAATGCGACCTCAAGGATGCGAATGGCATGATCAAACCACTAGGGCACTGCTGACGAAGCCCACATAAATGTTTTATCATCATCATTATTTAACTCCTCATGCAGGCGCAAGCCTAAACGAACAACTCACTTTTTAGGAACATTATGTTTGTTATAGGACAAATTCAGAAAAACAATTGACATTATTACTAAAATAAATATTGCTTTCCAGTCTGCCGTATACTGAAGCTTGCCTGCGTGAGATAATGAGAACTGATACTCTAGTCCCCCTAGGAATAGGTCATCGTGCCTTGACCGAATCTAAAATAGGTGGATACACAATACCAGAGGTAAGATTTCTCTTGTCTACATTAAAAAATATCATTACGAAATCTGATTTATATTTCCATACGATATTTTTCTTGCTCTCTTTGGCACCAGCAAGTGTTACGCAAAAGAAAAATAAGCCGGAACTGATTTTTTCCGATAGTGTGTGTGTGTATTACTATATTATTTTTCAATACGCTAACCTAGAAACATTACCTAACTTTATATGGTACGTTTTTGGATGGAAGCGATGATGTTTATATGAACTAACCTTATTTATTATTTATTGATTGAAGTTTACAACATCATACAAAGTAATAAATCTACGGAATATTTTACAAAATCATCCATCTAAAACATCAGTGTTACAAAAAAAAAAATATTTAAAATATATACAAGATAAAATAAGCATACATTAAAATTACCAGAAATTACAGTAAAGCAGAAAAAAAATCATCAGCAAAACAGCGAATTAGGTTTGAGAAAGGCACCCAACAATGCTTTCTCTAAAACCGATCAACCCACTACCGAATGGATATATTCGGATAAGCCCTGCGATTCTGTAACTCACTTTTCGAACTCACACAGCGGTTTTCGCATCGTCGGTCGCTCTGTCGACATCAGTCGTGAAGCAGTCATTTCATGATTTGGCATTCTAATAAACAATAAACTACAAGCTCCCACCTTTTCAGAATGCCAAATCATAAAATGACTGCTTCACGACTGATTTGAGAGCGACCGCCGATGCGAAAACCGCTGTGTGAGTTCGAAAAGTGAGTTACATAATCGCAGGGCAGCACTGTTCAATCCGGTGATTGAGAGGTGAGAGGTACCTGAATTCCTAGGTTGATTTTTGCAGAACCAGCCCTTATCACACCGTTTTAACTAAAATCGTCTTTCTATCAAAATTTGTATTAAATGTAAATTAAAGTGTAATGTTTTTTATAAGGGGCTAAGTTTTCACAAGAAAACTTTTTATATATTTCAGAATACATCGGTTTCTGTGAACCTGATGAGCTTACACTTGGATAAGAAGACTTGGGGCGACCCAGAAAACTTTAGGCCCGAGAGGTTTATTCAAGATGGAAAATTAAATGTCTCTCTGGATAAAAGCCTGCCATTTGGAGCCGGTACGACCTTTTTTTTATCTACTCTAAGGCTGTGTTTGTTTTTCTGATAAAACTGTAAAAAAATATAGAATTAATTGGGGCATTCGATAGAGATATTTTTAAGGGCTTTTTAATATTTGCATTAACCGCCCAAATTAATCATCTCCTTTGCTAATCATGCATTAAGACTACTCAACTACTCATAGGTTCTTGTTTAGAGAATTGAGTTCATAAAGAACTCAAATTAACTCACTTTATTTATTATATAAGTATATGTATTATTCAATAAATGATTATTTGCATGAGACACAGTAGTTGATATAAATTTAATAACGTATGATATGATACAAATAATATAAGAATTGACCAATTCATATGACTAATAATGTAAAATGTAAAATTCCTTTAAAGACAAATTTGCGCGCCGTTGTGTGTGGCAGAATATGCGAACTTACGATTGTACGACCTTACAGATTTAGGTGCCATATTGTTGCAATAAATTATTATAATTATTATAGAAATTATTTTTAGAAAAGAGGCGTTTAGGTATTTAAGCAAAGGTATTCCACAGGTCGAAGACTGTGTGCTGGTGAAACATTCGCGCGGCAGGGTATGTTCCTGCTTATGGCAATGTTCATGCACTCTTTCCACGTCTCCACCGTCGACGGGAAACCACTGAAAGATCGCTCTACAAGGATAGAGGGACTCATTAGTACCAGGCCAGAGTTTTGGGTTCGCGTAAAGCCAAGGAATCAGCTTATTTTGTAGTTTAGATATGCAAGTGACAAAGAAAATTATACTTTATATTAAGGTAGTTATTTAGAAATCCACTTTCATATACAATGTAATTGTATGTGTGTACAGTTTAGTTTAGTTGCTTATTTAATTGTCTATAACACTTAGTAAGCCAATTTTTTAAGATTTATTGTTAGATTTTTTGTACATATTCGTATTTTTGAATGGCCCTAAGTGATGAATGGCGAAGTTCTGTTGTTAACGAAATAAACGGTTCTATCAGAAAATCTTTTTGTTTTATTTATTTTATCTAATCTTATAAAAAACAACTATATCTGTGTAGTCTACCTCAATGGAGTACCACGCGTATGAGTAACGAACAATCTCTCTTACGCTGTGTCAAGGCAAGTTTCAATAAATTTGGAAAACGAATGTGTAAGCTTATACTCGTACAAACCAGCCTCAAAAGTGAAATACATACTTGAATTTCTTTATGCGTCGCGTATTGTGTTACATGACCCATAAACATATCGGGTTAAAACATTGTATCAGAAAGTAAGTCACAACACTGATAATAATAAGTGAAAATCATGATTCAAAATATATTCTAATGGAAAATGACTATCCTGCCCAGAGGCACTTAAATTCAGAAACAAGATTGAGCGCGAAGTATACATTTTTGTATACGGGAGTCAGGAGATGTCAGTGAAGTTAGCAGAGCACTTACCAGTTACCAGAAGAGCACAACAACATAGTAGAGTTAACTGTTTTACCTAAGTATACAACAGAATCCGCGGAGTTCGCCAATTTTCATCAAACAGGTATTTCTCTCCTGAGAGAAAGAGAAGCGTTCTGGCCTAGGCTTTATTGGATTTACTATAACATGTTACAGTTCTCATTCAAACCGCAGTGTTTTAATGTCTGCACACTATTTCAATATTTTAACCACATTTTCTAATTCTTTCTATTACAATTGTATGTGTTATTGAGACCTTGTTTTTCGAAATGCATAAGAAATCTTCGCTGTAATCGGGAGCTGGCACAGCTCTTTACGCTTTAAAAAATCATTTTCTGTACTTAAATGTCCAGAACTCTTTCTAAATACTATCAGGAAATACGTATATTGTGTCTGCTACGAGAACTCAATTTTTTGCACAGAGCACCTGTTGGTCAGTGCTCTGCTAACTTCACAAACACAGTCAGGAGTAAGTTAATTTAGAGTAGTGGAGACTTAGAGTATTGCTCTGACCTATGTGAATAACCATTAAAATTTTACTCAAACCTTAGATATAGAAGTTCTGGAAAAAACGTACATAGTCCTTCATTGAGATTCACTTTACTAAAGCTATTCATTAAACATTGAAATTAAAATAATTTAACCCCAAGAAGACACGAGATTGCGCGTTTTCTGCTTAAAAAAAACACCCTTTGTAGCTCCTCCTCTCGATGAAACTCTACTCAGCTAGCATCTCGATACTGGGCGTTGACATAATATGTCTATATCTATGTCAGTTTCGCGGTCATTTGGAAGGAAAGGCTAAGTTAGCCTGTAAGGTCGTTTCTCCACTGCTCCGGTCCGGCAAACGTTAATTACCGATCCGATTTAGAAACTCACAACAGTACTTACGTGCTTCTCCACTACTCCAGCATCCGGTTTTTAACGATCCGATAACTGGCTAGATCGGAACGCGGTGTTTTATCGGTCCAAGTATATCCAAGTATCCATGAGGTTATAAATTATTATTCACAGGTTTATTTATAGTTTCTTTAATTTGAAAGAATCTGGATAACCTGGACTAAACCAAATTATGTTGCTATTTATTTATATTTTTATACCATAGTATTAGTGAACTATTTATTAAGTAGATTATAATATTTTAAGATAGACAATATAAAAATGTAATAAACTTGCCAGAGCAATAACATATACAGAATTTAGAACGTTTTATTAATAAAATAAAGTATATGGGTTTTTGCGACGGGGTGACTTATTTTTACTGATCGATTATTGTCGGATCGGATATAGTGGAGAAGCGCAATCCGGCCTTCTGTAATTTTTCTCATGACTGATTCCGGTATCCGACGCCGGACCGGAGCAGTGGAGAAAGGGCCTTAGAAGCGCGTGTACATGGGCGGTGGTACCACTTAACAACAGCTGAGCCTCCTGCCCGTTTGCCTCCTTCAGCATTAAAAAAATATAACTTAAATTGAATGTAATAAAAGTATGCTCACTCTACTTGCTTCTAAATCTATAAACTAATTAGATATTAAATATTTGCTGTATTGCTTCGTTTAGTTGATTATTGAAGATAATTTAATTTTTTATTTTTTTTTAATATTGGATTTAGCTGTCTTTCTGGGTATTATGTAGAGTTCAATTTCAATTATCGAATTCACTGGCGCATTCACCTCACCCAAGAGCTGAGGTGAGTAAAGTGAGTTTGAGCCAAAGTCCAAACGAATGCCGTAGAAAATACTACTACTGTACATACCTTATTATTTATTACCATTTTATTATCAGGAATAATGATCATATTTTTTGAAATTGGACTAGCAAGTATTACTTTATCGAATATTCCGAGTCGAAGACAATTAGTTTCATTCGTCATAATTATATATTTAAGTGTTAAAGTAATGTAAGTATATGTTCACGTATCTTATTTTGCATTGCGCTTCAAGCATGATCGGACTGCTTGCGTTGGTGGCGCTGCTATCTTTGTCTGTGATATGTCTATGGAAAAAGGCTTATAATCGACATGAGAATTTTCCACCAGGTAAGAGCTTTTTAAATTTAATTTATAATTTAAAAATAATATATTTTATTTATAAAGGCCTCCTGCCCGTTTGCGAATAAAATTACATTTTTATAGTTTTATTTCTCTCACAGAGACAATTGCGTTGTATTATTCACATAATATCATAACATTTACAGTTGTACAATATATTCGAAGATTATTACCAATTATTATTTTTATTTTGGACTTATATAGGCGATCTGGACACATAATATGAATTATTTTAATTAAAACCGTAAATTCATTATAAATTTCGTTGACTAACAATATTTATTAAAATGATTCATTGTTTAATTTCCGTAGTTATTAAGTTATCGTTTATAACCGCTATTTTCACTGTTACCTACATTTTTTTGATTAAGAAATGCAACGTATGTCTATGCGTAGAAATTGTTCCTTTAGGTTCTATTTGATATAACTCGAATGACAACGATTCTTGGAAAAAATAATAATAATATTATAGTTTTTTTTTACTTAAAATATTAAAAGGATTTGATTGCAAAGCAGACATATTTATGATGATTCATTGGTACCTAATTTTTAAAAAAGAGGCGGAGCTATTGATGCGTTCAAGTATATCCAATAATATAGATAACACTGGACATCATTAAACAGTGTGTTAATTATTAAGATAAAAGCATATTTGTGATTGTTTCACGACATTACAATGTTTAATGAACTGATTTGAATACAAAATATGTCTATCGAAATTATTACGGAAAAAGTTGTTTAGTTTTATTTCCTTACGAGAACTTAAATTGTTATTAATATATCCCGTATAGATTATGACGTGGTCGTTGCTAGCTTTTTCATATAAACATCGTACAAAGTCGGGATTGGAACCGTCGCTTTGGGGACTACCAGCCCGAAATTCAGAATATTATGAAAACAAACCTCAGCTGTTATTTTTTGATTGTATTTGGAAATCATATATTATCAAATAAAATCGCAGTAAAGGATAGTGCGCGTTAGTGAGTTGTTGAGCTAAAATCGAGCGATTTTAAATAAAAACAATTCTCCTAAGTAAATCGCGTTTTATGGAGCCTTTTGATATTTCATTGACATATTTCTATTTGTAAGATTTCCTGTTTATCGTTTTAGGACCGCCAAGTCTGCCAATCTACGGAGCCTATTGGATTATTGTCGCGAAAGCCTTCAACAACCTTGCACTGGCCACAATACGATTAGCTAAAGAGTACAATACGAAATTGGTGGGGCTATATTTAGGGCCTATTCCTCTGGTTCTGGTCAATGACTCTACGTTGATCAAGGAAGTACTCAATAGGGAAGAGTTTGATGGACGATTGGATACAGTCATCTCTAGAGCAAGAGGATTCTGGAAGATATTAGGTAAGTAAGTTACAAAAAGACCTGTGTTCCTGTCGAGAAAACGATCCAATTATTTCTACTCTTGAGCGTAGAAGATTATTTTGTTTACCAACGATTACATTATATTATTTATTGTATTTATTGGTGTCTATGCATAATTAATAGGTTATGTCGCTACCATAATGATATTGCACAGAGTTTTGACATTTTTCACGGTTCTCTGGCCTCAGCTAAGAGTAGAATTGGGACACAGTACCGATAATTTATTTTCTTGGTTCAAATAATTTAATTCTTTTATAGTTTGCATTTTTAATTTTTATGCTTGTTTGTATTTAACACTGTTTTTTGTATCTACTTGATTTCGCTGGTCGTGTCCACATGTTATAGGGACGGCACCGCTTTTGATATTTATGTATGTATGTCAATTTATATCATGTGTTTGTCCTAATTTTGTGGTCCAAATAAAAAAAAAAAAAAAAAGCTTTATAAAACTGACTATACTGTGTCGTAGTATTAAATTTATTACGTATTAATCGAAACAGCAACGAGGTAATATTATAATCGTCTCGAAAAATAACGTTTAATTCGACGTGTGAAACGCAAATTAAATTTTATTCAATCGCTTATATTCTTAATGAACTTTAGATTTTTTATCAAAAGTCAGACACACTTTATAATAAATTCAAATTCAAAAACATTTATTCATGTAGGTAACACAATGTACACTTATGAACGTCAATAAAAAAATACGTATTAAATGCTTCTAATTTTACATTTACTGCCAGTTCTCAAATCAAGGGCGTAGAATGAACGAGAAGAACTGGCAATAAACTCTCCGCCACTCTTTTTAATTGCCCAGTTTTTTGTTTAACAAAATGTTTGTAAGGAGCTGCAACCATTACACCATGTTCCACGAGACATCTTTAAGTAATGAATAGTTAAATTTAAAGTTAAAAATAAAAAACAAAGATTTTTCCTCTATCAGCAGTAGGCATGGTGATATAGGACCACGCACTTACTCGTGGGCACAACACGCAAGGTCCAGTTACTAATTTTAAGCGTCTAATAAAACCTATGGCGATAAATTTAACGCTTGCGTACATGAAAATGAAATTAGCCAAGCGCTCACGCATTGCGCAGACATTGTAAACAGAGTTTTCATTTGTCCCTATTTTGTGTATAAGTTCATAATTGGCAGCATTATTGTCAAGTAAACATCAACCCATACCATCAATATTCTGTAACAACAATAGCATAACTGAGTTTTTGTATGCACTTTCGATGTAGTTATATCCAAAAGTTGCATTAAAGTCAGATCAGGGAGTCAGAGTAATGGCGAGGGATATAATATAAACTTATACGTATGTTTATCAGTAAATAAATGTATCGTTGTCATCGATCTAGGACCAAGGTACAAGCCTCGATCGATGACCTTAATTACTAATGTAATTAATTAATATAGATCAATGATATTAAGTATTAATAATATACATACGATAGCGCTAAATAACCTGCATCATGAGCACACCCCACATACACACCAACTACCTTCACTTTCACACAATCACACAAGACAGCCGAATTAGGTATTACTTAGTTAATGTTTAATATTTTTTTCTTTTCTCAGTTTCGTAAATGTTTGAACCTTTTGTATATAAAACTGACCCGGCAAACGTTGTTTTGCCATGTATATTATTTCTAGGAAACATTTTTTTTAGTTCAATAAAAATAACTATCCAACTAAACAACTATATAAGTTGATCGTAGAGGGGTGGAAATTAGGGGTTGTATGTATTTTTGTATGCTGTATCATAAAAAAATAAAAACAAAAGGGGGGGAAAAAAAAAAAAAAAAAAAAAAAAAGGGGGGGGGGGGGGGGGAAAAAAAAAAAAAGAGGGGGAAAAAAAAGAGGGGGGGGGGGGAGGGGGAGGGGGGGGGGGGGGGGGGGGGGGGGGGGGGGGGGGGGGGGGGGGGGGGCCCCCCCCGCCCCCCCCCGGGGGGGGGGGGGGGGGGGGGGGGGGGGGGGGGGGGGGGGGGGGGGGGGGGGGGGGGGGGCGGGGGGGGGCGGGGGGGGGGGGGGGGGGGGGGGGGGGGGGGGGGGGCCCGGGCGGGCGGCCCCCGGGCGGGGGGGGGGGCCCCCCCCCCCCCGGGGGGGGGGGGGGGGGGGGGGGGGGGGGCGGGGGGGGGGGGTGTTTTTTCCCCCCCCCGGGGTGTCTGGCGTTAGAAAAACAAAAATATCGTCTAAAAAATAAAAAATCAATTTTGGGGTGGACACCCCTTATCACTTAGGGGTTTGAAAAATAGATAGTAGCCGATTCTGAGACCTACTGAATATGCATAAAAAATTTCATAAGAATCGGTTTCGGAGGAGTATGAGAACGAACATTGTGACACGAGAATTTTATATATTAGAGATTTATCATAAGTATTTTTATATTTTATTTATGTTATATATTATGTATCAGTTGCAGTACGAAATAAATAATGAATGTTATGCAGTCCGATTCGCCCAACCTCTATTGAGATTTGCCATGTATGCTCAAGAATTGAAGTTGTGTGTGCACATTTTTTTAGAACACGAAATCTTGGGTTAAAGTTGGGGCCGAAAACTAAACAATTTTTAATAGCTCTAAGTTAAGAATATGACGATGTTTAATAATTTTTATCTCGGCGTTTGACGCGCCCTTTTTTTTTTTTTTTTTTTTTTTTTTTATTGTTGGGAAATCAATTTACTGACCCCCGCGCCGGGGCAACGATTTAAAAGTGGCGCAGGGAGTGTGGGAGTCAGTCCGTATGGTGCAATGGACACCTACCCACTAAAACCCAACAGCCCCATCTGTTCGCTATGGACGGTAGGCGCGGTAACAGTTTCCCTTAATCCGTGCCTCCGTCATGAGCGTCTGCTGTGTGAGCACATATTCTGCGTTGCCCAATCCTGTCCTAAGGTCCCAATGGAGTACGTGCGTAATCGCGACGTCTCCTTCCAGGCCTTTTTTTGCGTTGAGGGTCGGCGTCTGGGTTACACTCCCGAACCCTCTCCGCATTCTCTTTAAGTGTAATGACGGCTTCACAGAACGCTTTGAAAGTGTTCCATGGGCCGTCACTGTCAGCCTCCATCATAGCTTTAACTATGACTGGAAGCGACAGGTCCAATCCGAAGGTGGCGGTTAATAGGCTACGTTCAGAGCTCCACGCCGGACAAACCTCTAAAGTGTGTTGCGCTGTGTCGTCTGCGAAACCACACTCGTGACAAATGGGGGATGCCTCCCTCCTGGCAACCCTGTGAAGGTATCCACCGAAACATCCATGGCCTGTGAGGACCTGAACGAGTCGGTACGAGAGTGCCCCCCATCTTCTATTTACCCACAAGTTGAGCACTGGACGTATAGATGTAATTGTCCAGACTCCTGCCCTGTGATCTTGTAACTCATCCATCCATTTCTGAAGGACGGTCACTTGGGCTTCCCGTCTCCAGCTGTTTATGTGCTCAGGAAGGGGGTCGAAACCCCTACTTCTACTATCTGCCCTATGCCAATAGATCTTGGCTAGGGCAGCCGCTCGCGGTGGCCAGGGGGCAGTTCCTGCAATAACACACGCTGCCTCGCAAGAGACGGTGCGGTACGCCCTTGCCACCCTTATGGCCATCGCCCGTTGCGACTGTCTTAGAATCGCCCTGTTTTGAGCGAATAGACAATCGGCCCAAATGGGGCATCCGTAGAGGACCTTCGCCCGGACCACACCTGCAAATAACCGGCGACACCCCGCACTCGGCCCACCAAGATTTGGCATTAACCGGCAGAGTGCCATAGCCGTGGTAGCGAGCTTCGGGGCAAGTGCCGAGAAGTGATCCTTAAAAGTCCATCGAGAATCGAGGACAAGCCCGAGATACTTTAAAGTGGGGCTTACTCTTATGGGCACACCACATACGACCAATTGTGTACCGTCAGGAGGAGCTCGTCTTGGACCGTGGAAACAGACCGCCCCAGATTTCTCGAGGGCGACTTGGAGGCCAATGCGCCTTATTTGCGCCACAACCTGTGCCACCCCCGCCGTTGCGAGGATGCAAGCTTCTCTGTATGTACGACCTTTTGCAGTGATAAGTGTGTCGTCGGCATAACATATTAGGCTGACGCCTTGCAGATGTGAGCCACGAAGGACGCAGTTATATCCGATATTCCATAGGAGTGGGCCTAGAACAGACCCTTGTGGAACACCACACTCAACCCTGTGTTCCTTCCAACCTCCCCGACCCGGGTAGATGACGGTACGGGCCGAAAGGTATGATCTTATCATGCGCCGGAGGTATACTGGCACGTCATGGAAGATTAAGCCGTCTATAATGGTATTCCAGGGAATCGTGTTAAAAGCGTTTGCTATGTCTAGTGACACCGCCAGCACCACCCCTCCTTGCGCGAGTGTCTCCTCGCAAACGTCTCTTAGCCTTGCAACGGCGTCGATGGTAGACCGGGCGCGCCGGAAACCGAATTGGGTATCGGCCAAATCCGGCCCGTCCGTTGTAAGGTGTTTTACTATGCGGGATGCTAGCACTCGCTCGAATAACTTGCCTGCTTCATTTAATAAAACAATTGGCCTATAGGCCGACGGGGACTCAGGTGATTTACCCTCTTTCTTTAATAATACAAGTTTTCCCGTCTTCCAGCTACTCGGAAAGTGGCCGTTCTTTAAAATATGGGTTAGCAACTCCCGAAACCTCTCTTCCAGCCCGTTATTGAGGACATGGACCCAGACCTTCCCGTGAACACCATCTGGTCCGGGGGCTGTCTTTTGCTCTGAAGCTTAAGTATTGCAACAGAGAGTTCCTCAGGCGTCACTTCTGGGACTTCCTCATCATAGTGGAGGTCGTCGCGAGATGTTGGATGCGAACTGTTAGCCGGGAATAGTGCGGAGACTACCGTATCCAGGAACACCGGTTCTAGAGTGGTAGTGAGTGGCGGAAGCCAGGGGCGCAGCTTGGTCATCACTAGCCTATATGGCCGCCCCCATGGGTCTAGCTCTAAAGT